ACATGGAAGTTACATTTAACCAGGATAAGGTAACCCTAACATCTATCATTCCCTACAAGAGGCATAACAGCTACCATTTTACATTTGTTTACCACTTACCTTGTGTCAGATACCATGTTAGGTGTTTATAAACAATGCTCTACTTATTTATTTATTAAGTTTTTTGAGACAGGGTCTCACTATATAGCCCTGGTTGTCCTGGAACTTACTCTGTAGACCAGGCTGTCCTCAAACTCAGAGAGCCATCTGCCTCTGCCTCGGATTAAAGGTGTGTACTACCACCGCCTGGTCAATGTTCTAATTTTTGGAAGCATTTTAAATAATTATTTCTATTTTGCGGATGAAAACAATGAAAATCTTACCAAGACGAGGTAACTTACTCATGTCACATAAGCAGATGTTGAAATCTGGGATTCAGGACTGGGAGATTGGCTCAATGGGCAAAGCACAAGCATGAGGACCAAAGCCAGGCGGGTGTGGCGGCCCCTATAATCCCTGCATGTGGGAAGTGGAGCCCTTGGAAGCAGCTGGCAAGAGATTCTGCCTTGATATGTAAGAGGGAGAACAAATGAGGACGACCTCGTCCCACGTCACCCCTGGGCCTCCACATGCATGTGCACTTGCACACGCGCAAATGCCCACACACATACCAAAATTACAATGTGGGGACTCAAACAAAGGGGTCTATTTTCACTGCCACCAGAGAGAAAGTCCTCTGGTCACATGTTTTAGAACTAAACAAATTATTATCAAACAGGAATGTGGCCTGATTTTAATCACTGACAATATTCTGAACTCAATGACCACCAATACAAAGTAGTAATTCTACCTCGCAATCATACGTTCTCCTACCGGTTTGTCTTACACCACACTCACCTTGCCCCCTATCCGGACCTGAGCTTGAAGTTTGGCTAACTTTTCTTGATTCATGCTCTTGGTAAATCTAGGGGGGGAAAATAGATTTGTTAAATTTAGTTTTACCAAAGTTAAAGACTTATTTATATAAACAATACCTTTTGCTTCACTGAGCTTGTAATATGCATTAACATCATGGTCTTATAATACTATCTATATTAGTAATAGTGACAACCTGTTCTAGCTTCACATACCAATTTAAAAAAAAATTAAACATCACACGGGAGTCAAATATACAAATGGCAAATGAATGGGATTCAAAGTTGCCTATTTAAAGATCCTTTCTTAAAACATGACAAAGTCTTCTGGCATTCAGAAAAACCTAACCAATTATGAAATCCCTGTAGGCAGCAGGCTTTTTCTTCCAAAGACTTTCAAAGCAGAGAACAGTTACCAAATGTTATTAGCAAAACCTTCAAGTAGACTGTTTTCTCTGGAATCACATTCTGTATTTCTTATAAAGGATAAATAATATGACACAAAGAAAAAAGGCTAGACAAAGAAGAAATTGAAGAAATTAACAATGGGCTGTCAAAATACAAGCAAGTCACGTCCTCTATTCAAGGTCAGATGTGTTAATAATGGGAAACTACCAGATTTTCAAACGCTCCCTGATTCAGCAGCCCTCGAGTTCACTCTAGGCCTTGCAGGGATAGAGTTTGTCACACTTAACAAGATATTATTGCATATAGGGTAAACTGTTTCATAGCACAATGTGACAGAAATGTATCTTGGCTACATTAATACTGAGTTGGTGATAAGTTTTTATAGCAAATTTTGACTTTTGAAAATTCTAAGGCTATTATAAAATCATAAATTCTAGTCTGGTCAGTGACTCTCCTGCTAAAGAAAACAACATTTCACACTAGAATCAAATATACTCTAATTCAACAGTCCTGTTTGACTTGTTCTGTGGCTCTCCAGATCATTACTGAGATGTGAAGGAGGGAATAAGGGAATAGGGTATTATTAAACTTTTTTTTTTTTTGCTCATTTTCTAACCTTGTAATTACATCATTCAGATGAGGATACCATTTTTTTTTACATTTGAAAAAGAAAAAAAAAAGAATCAAAGATCCTGTAAAGTACTAACCATTCTGAACTGGCATTGAACTTAGGGAACTGACCTGTACATATCACTGCTGTAAGGCTGAATCCATTTCCCAAATAAAAATTAGAACCTATGGCTTTTCAATTTGCTCAACACTTATCACGATGGTCCTGCAGCTACAACTCTTGTATGGGAGGAGTTGTGTGAAGAATCCAAACAGTCTTAGATGTGTCATGACTTAAAACTTGCCAATATGAACCTCAATCTTGTATTCAAATATTCACAAAAGAACTAACGTTTATTTTCCTCACAGGACTACAGCCATGAAGGTATAGTGAAATAACGAAGAACTTAAGGAATTTCTTGCAGAAAGAAGGTCAAGAGAAAACATTAGAACTAAACACAGGACAAGCCCTTTGGGACTATTCTGCATTTTGAGTAACAATCCCAAAGAAGAGAGATAGAAAGACAAGACAAAGAATCCAGATTTGTTTGAAGCAGAAGCAAAGACAAAATTCTTTTCTTATGTTGTGGATGAAGAATGATTCCATTCCAGGTGGCCAGGATAACAGAGTCAAGAAATCTTATTCTAAGGAGTACGTTGGAAAAAAGAGGGAAATCTTAGGGAGCCTGGGAGCTTAAAAACAGCAGAGGGAGAAATGTGGCCTTTTGTCTCTCAGTTGCTGGGCCCTGTAGGACTCAAGTAGGAAGAGATTCAGACTCATCTGAGACCTCACCAGTCACCGGGTTCAGCCTCTACTTGATATCTTTAATGTACCTGTCATTCTTACTTGATGTGTGATGTCATCTCAAAGATCTGTTAGTGCAGCAGGGCATAAATTAACAAAACACTTAGCCTTCTTTTTAGTTTAACAGAAAATGGAGGCCTGGAAAGTTCCCTTTTGTGTCCCAAAGGGAGAAGTGACTTCCCAGGGCCACATGACCACTGAACTGAGTCTCCAAGAATCCTTTTCACACTTTTCGCACGGACTTCCGAAAGAGTATGAGATGAATCAATATTTATTGAACGCCCAAGTATTTTCCCATGCATGTTTACACAAAGAAAAATAATCTGTGCTTTCAGCCCGGACTTTTGATGTGAGAGTTCTCTAACAGTAGCAAAAGCTGTGGCATCAGAAAGCCCAAGGTTTTACCTAACTCAGGGCTTCGGAAAGGTATTTAACTTCTTTGAACTCATTTGTTTCTCCTGCATTACGAAAAGTAAACCCACCACGTACTTTACTGAGTTGAAAGATAAAAGCTTAGATTATCAAGTTAACGTCAGATACTTAATAGTTGGTAACTAATGTTACCACTCTTCCAGAGGACCACTGATGATATAATGAAAGAACGTGGGAACGGAAGTTGAAACCGCCATTCACCAACTGTGTAACACTGTGCCTGGCGATCAATCATCAGCGTAATGAGGTTATAAGGATGGGCTGTCCCAAAACCAAGGTAGACGTGTAAACAAACACTGCCATTAGAAAGTGAAGAGCGCTGCAACCTAGCTGGGGCCCGAGAGGTTGGGGGCCGGGTGCTAACCTCAGTTTCCCTATCCGTAGATTGGAAGGAGCAAATGGGATGACAACAGACAAGCTGTACAAAGCTCAAAGCGTCTGACATTGTTGTTGTGAATAATGAGTGACGGCACGAGGAGGGCTCGACCCTCCTGGGACTGGACCTGCGGGGCCAGAGCCCGAGCCCGGGCCCTCCAGAGCGGGCGATGGTGCTGGGGACCTTCCCTCAGGTGCCGACCCCCAGCTGCGCCGCCCGTAACCGACAGGCCGGGCCGGCCGCCTCCGCCCCCACTCGCCGCGCCACGGCGGAAGTGGCAGCCCGAGCGGACGGCGGGTGTCGGAAGGGGAGGGCGGGGGGAGACCGTGCGCAGCGGCCCGAGGCCGTGGGGTGGCGGGCCCGCCGGGGGTCTCACCTGCAGCGGGGAGGGTCCTCCAACACCAGCACGCGGCAAGAGCAAGATGGCTGCCTTAGCTGAGACAGAGAAAGACCGCGGCGGGGGCAGCGGCGGGAGCGGCCCACGTGACGCACGGCTCCGCCTCGCCCGCGGGAGGCGGGAGTTGGGGGTGGGGAGGACATGGCCGCCGCGCGCCTCCCAACTACAAAGCCCAGCCTGCCTCGCGCACCCCAATATTCTGATTGGCGGCGGGTGCTGGGGCCGCGTTGCATCCTGGAGGTGGCCGTCCGTCCCCTCTGCGCCCCATAGTGTCTGCGCTTACCTTTTGTCTTGGACCTAACGGAGGGACGGCCTGGAGTTTAGTTTGGGTGTATACTTGGTTGGGATGTTGTTCACTGATGGGCTCTTCTAGTACCAAGAGGGAAAGTCGGGAAATGTTGACTTGTTAGGTTGTAGAACGGAAAGACATACTCGACCCAAGACAGAAACCAACAGATTTAACGGAAAGAAGCGCTACACTTAAGTCATTGTAGTGACTTATGTTCCGGTTCCCTAGGATCACCTCATCAATTGTGCAATAACAGGCTTCAAGCATGGTTTTCTTGGAGCTTGCGTCAGTTGATTGCCTCATGCCTGAGTGAAGACGTGCGGATGCGAGGGGAAGAAAAGGTCCAGAGCTTCTCCAAAGTGCATAGCAAAACGCGCTTACTGGGTGGGTTTCTAAGGAATCCCGAGGAGAAATCTAACAATGAAATACTGTAGTCCAGTCTTTTTTAATTTGCACAGTGGGACGGGAAATTCCAAGCCAATGGATGACTTCTCTGTTGTGAGAGGCTGATCTCACAGATAATAATTTGCTTTTCGAATATTTAGTGCAGTGGTCCTTGGGAGGGAAGGGCTAGGCTGGAGGTCAGACGCAATTAACAACGGTTTTCCCGAACTCGGCCCACCTTATGCTGCTGTGTCCCTAGACCTACCAGGATTTAGGGAAAGCAAACTCAAAATGTACTACCCCCATCTTTCTGCGTGATCTGCACCTTTAAGCTTACTACTCCATTTCAAAGCGGACCCCGGAGGCACCGCCCACATCCGTCTAACATCACTTCCTTTAGTGTTTGGGAGAAAGAAAAAAAAGAAAAAGAAATCTGGGAATCCGAGGGGTTGGCCTGAGCGGCGATAGGAGAGCGGACCGGACCTGCTGCTGGGAATCCTGTGTTCTTTCAGTCCGGTGGCCCTGTGCAACTACCACCATGGAGATGTCGCTTCGTTTCGAGGCCACCTGTTTGCTGTGCTGCAGTTTCCTGCTCCTCATCACTTCTTCAGATGGTCGCACTGGGCTTGGAAAGGGTCAGAACTCGTTCTTATCGTTATCTTTACCGACCTCGGGTCCCTTTCTCGTCCTAATACTCTCGCCGAATCTTAGGCCACACCAGATTTCTTTTTATCTTCTTCCTCAGCTGCTCCGGGGGGGATTTCTTGGGGTAGGGAGTACCTACCTGGTGGGAGAGGATTTAAGAGAGGGAAGTTGTACTTGAGGGCGCTCTTAATTCTTGGGTTTGTAGAGATATGGCCCTTAAATTAGGACTAGGCTGTTTAAGAGTCCAACACGTGTAGTATTGGGCGCTTGGGGGAAACTTTCTGGAACTGTCCACCTTTATGCCTGAAGAAATAGGGTCTCTGGTGACTTGTGTGCGTATCAGAGATTACCGCTTGGGTTTGAAGATCTCACCACCCCCAAGACCCAGCTCCCGGCTACCCGGGAGATGCAGAAGAAAGAGCCAAATGAAGGCGAGGTCTTCTGCTAGGTGTCCGACAGTTGTCTCTGGTGTAGCTCAGCTAGTGTGTGGAGGAAACGGACTTTTTTAGATGGAGGCATCAGTGGTTATGAATGAAAGTTAGGCAGTGTGACCCCTCTACTCCATGCTGTTACCTACATCTTTCTAAACTTGAATACCTCCTCGTCAGTTCTCTTTTGAAAGCTGAATTGGCTAACTGGATGAGATGTAAATGGATCCCAACCCTGCTTTGATTATTACTGATCTTACTGTATGGGTTCCTCCTGCCCCTGCTGCTGTGGTGGGGTGTGTGTACGTACGTGTGTGTATTTAGTGTGTGCTGGTACATGGCACCCATGACTAGGCCAGAAGAGGACGCTACGTGTTTGCCTCTTCTGCTTGTTCTCCACTTTGGAGACAGGGTGTCTCATTGAACCTGAGCTCACCATTTAGGTTAGCGTTCCTGTGAGTTCCTGGGATCCCCATCCCCCATGTCTGGGGTTCCGTGCATGAGTTGCCATGCCAGACTTTTATATGGTTACTTAAAATTTGAACCCAAGCCCTCTTGTCTTCACAACTATTCTTATCCTCGGAGCCATCTCCAGGCCCAATCATACTGTTTTTAATTTTAAAAGATTTATTGTGTGTGTGTGTATACGTGTGTCTCTGTGTATGTGTGTGTGTGTATGCATGTGTGTCTGTGTGTGTGCGCATGTGTGTAAATGTATGAATGTATGGTCCAAGTAGGCCAGAAGAGAATGCACTTCCCCGGGAGCTGGAAATACAGGCCTGACATGGGTGTTGGGAACCTCTGGAAGACTAGCATGTACCTTAACTATTGAGCCATTTCTCTATCCTGTTTATTCGTTTGTTGGTTTGGTTTTTCAAGAAAGTTTCTCTGTATAGTCTTGATTGTCCTGGAACTTGCTTTGTAGACTAGTCTGGCCTGGAACTCACAGAGATCTACCTGCCTCTGCTAGGATTAAAGGCACGTGCCACCACTGCCAGGCTGTTGTTTTTGTTTCTTTTTGTTGGTTTGGTTTGGTGTTAGTCTGGCTTTTCGAGACAGTGTCTTTCTGTGTAGCCCTGGCTGTTCTGTATCTTGATCTATCGATCAGGCTGGTCTCGAACTTAGAGATCCTCCTCCCTCTGCCTCCCAGGTGCTGGAATTAAAGTTGTGTACTACCACTACCCGGGCAGTGAGTTTGAGTAGAAATTGAGTAAACCTGTGTTAGTACTGATTTTTGATTACCAATCATATTTTGGTCATTGACTTGGAACTAGAGACGTGGCAATAAAGAGAATAGACCAAGCTCTTGCTTTTGTTGGGTGTGTATTCCAGTCAGAAAGAGGGTGAGAATAGGCTAGGTTATAACAGATTACTGAGAGAATTCAGCTTTTATCTTATAAACTTGTGGTAGAATAAGAAGTTAAGCTGAGGAGGGCAAGGGAGCTGCTGTTGACTTGAGTTAGGAGGGTGAGAAAAAGCTTTTCTAAGGTGATGTGTGGATGTCTAAAGGATGTGATACACAGCGCAGTGAGTCTTATTGGGCAAAATGTTTCAAATATTGGTAATCCTGCTGTAAAAGAGACTGTCCTATGTATAACTTACATATCGATCCTATGGACGTAAGACTATATCATACTTACCCCACCTCAAAAAACAAACAAACAAACAAACAAAAACCCAAGTGCTCCCTGAGGCCGGAGTTCCCAGGATTTCTGACCAGTATTGTTTCTTCTGGGATGTCTAAGGAGCTCCAGCTCTTTCCAGAAGATGCCTTGGCTCTCTGCAGAGAGGAAAGATGGAGTGACCATCCTTCCTACCCTCCTCCAACAGTTTTCATTGTGAAGAGCAAACACAGCAGTGTGGAGTGTGCACACTATACTGGGATTATTAGGCCTAGATTTTAATCTTGGTCAGGTCGTTTAGCCAGCTCTGGTCTTCCCCTGGTGACTATTTATTAAGGGGGAGGTTGGGCTAGAGATGTGTCCTGAGGGCCTTACAGCTCTAACGTCCCAATGTCTGAACACACTGTTCTCTCAAGACTAGAAATCGCAAATGTCTCCCCCTTGAAGAGAAGCGTGACTGGCGGTGACTTCTCCTCTGCTGCCTTCAGGCACTGCTCTGTGCCTTTTTCCTACAGCGACTATTTTCATTCTTACAGTAACTCTGTGAGGTGGGTGATATTTTTCTTGTCATCCCCGTTTCACAGATGAAGACTCTAAAATGAGGCGTTGGGAGTTAAGTGGAGCAGGAAGATGAGACCCAGAGCCCTTGTCCGCACCACTGCGGCCTCCAGTGTAGAGGAGGAAGCTAGCCACTCTCCCGCTCACAAGAGAAATCGATGATTTCAATCTCTGGAATTAAAAGTTGGCACAATAACACTCCATGCCCTGTTTTCAGCCACAGTCATGTCAGGAGACATGTTTTTGTTAGCTATATTTAGCGTTTATGCAAACGATAGAGGTTCTGAGCTGCGATTCCAGCTCAGCTTTCTGACCGCAGACCTCTCATGGCCAGGCTGTTTGTTATTCTACCTTTCAGGTACAGTGTTCCCTGTCTCAGCCTGGCTGCCAGCTCTGACACTTGACCTCTCGTTATTTAGTTTTCACCAGCTGGAGTGTGGGTTGATGCTCTTCTATGTCTTTAACATGGTTTTTAGGACAAAGCTTGGACACGGACATAAATAATGGGTTTGGAAATGGCTTTGCCTGTGTTAGGCATTGTCTCGGGAAAGAGCTGTTGGTGCGGGAGCCTTTAGCTTCCTTTGCAGATACTTGGCATCAACTGTCTTGCGGGCGACACCTTAGGAAACTGGACTGCCTTCAGAGGTTCCGAGCTGCTGTGGCCAGGAGTATGGGTGCTTAAAACTGTCTTTTTCAAGGGGAGAACAAAAGCAAAGCAAAACCCCCTCAGGCGTTGTAGAGCTGAAGCGTTCTCAAGGTGCGTTCCCTGTAAACAGTAGACAGATTTTAAAAACCGCTATGCTTAACAACACATTGTCAGTATTGGTTTTGTTATCATAAGCGCTTACATTTTTCATCTCCTTGCATCTGGGCTGCATTCAGGAGAGCTGGTAACCTCCCGCCTGTCTCTAAGGTTGCTCTTTTAATCTAGCCATTGAAGTTTTTAAAACCTGAGCAAAGAAAAGAGAGGCCTGAGAGAGGGCTCAACAGAAGCGCTTGCTGCACAAGTGTTTCGACTTAGGTTTGACTCCTGGAACCAACACAAAAGCGAAAGTAGAGAATTCACTCCATAAAGTTTTTCTCTGACCTCTACACAGGTGCAATGGCAGGTACTCCCACGTGCACACTTGCACGCATGCAGTAAGGAAGAGAGAGGAAAGATAGAGCAGAAACTACAGTTTACATATGTGCCCTTTCTCCTTCCCGTTTCCTGTATCAGCACTGACACGTTTACTCCAGTTGATATTACAATTCAAGGCTGCCCTGGAACGAGCTCTGTAGACCAGGCTGGCCTCGAACTCACAGAGATCTGCCTGCCTCTGCCTAGGATTAAAGGCGTGTGCCACCACCACCCGGCTACATTTCACTCTTAGTGTATGTTTTGTACATTTTGACAAATGGAATGTCACTATTAGTTTGCCAGAGTTGCCATAGTGAGTACTATAGATCAAGTGGGCCTCTATCTTTATTTTTGTTCGTGTGTGTTCATGCATGTGGAGGCCTGAGGTCAACCTCAGGTATTGTTTTTCAGATGACAAGCCACCTTGTTTTTGAGATAGGGTCACTCTTTGGGACCAGACTTGGCTGACTGGCTAGAAAACTCTAGGGATCCCTGAGTCTTCGCCTCCCCAGCTTTTTTCATGGATTCTGGAGACTGGAGAGGGTCTCATGCTTATGTAGCAGACATTCTACAGACTGAGCACTGCACTGGATGGTTTTAACAACAGAAGTTTATGTTTTAATGATTCTAAAGGCTTGAGACCAAGATCAAGATGTTGGCAGGGGTGGTTTCTGCTTTTATGACCCTCTTTTCTCTACTAACATGGCCTTCCCTGTGTATTTAATCTCTTCCTTCAAGAATTGGTGTCAACTTCATCACTTCTTTAAAGACCATATCTTCAAGTAGTGTCGTATTTTAAGGCACTGAGGATTAGAACCTCAACATAGATAGGGAGAGACATTGTGCACAGTTCAAGCTGTAACACCGGGATCTGACAGTGCACTATAGTGTTACAGAATAGCTTGCTGGTATCGCAAGCCCACATTACGTGTGTTCTGGGGCCCAAACTTTACTGCCTGAGATAGCTCCTCAGCCCCTACATTCTTTGTTTGCTTGTTTGTTTTTGTTGTCTGGTTTTGAAATGGAATTGAACGAATCCAGGCTGCCCTCAAAACTCAAACACACTTAGTATGACTCCAGGAACAACCTTAAACTTATGATCCTCTTGTCTCCACCTCTTGAATGCTGGGATGGCAAATGTACACATGCTACCTTTTCCTGATTTAGATTTGACAGTTTCTTTTGTGATTCCATGAGTTATTTCTCTAAGCACTTCATTTGTAGTTTTTTTTTGTTGTTGTTTTGTTTTCTTTTCTTTTTCGAGACAGGGTTTCTCTGTGGTTTTGGAGCCTGTCCTGGAACTAGCTCTGTAGACCAGGCTGGTCTCGAACTCCCAGAGATCCGCCCGCCTCTGCCTCCTGAGTGCTGGGATTAAAGGCGTGCGCCACCATCGCCCCGGCTTCATTTGTAGTTTTTGTTCTGTTTTGTTTTTAATTCTGTGGTAGATAAGCTAGTATCTAAAGTCCTCATGGTCTAACTCACTCTGCTTCTGATGATGATGATGATGTGTGTATGTGTGTGTGTGTTTAAAGCAATTTGTGGATTTATGGTGGTAAACTCACAATAGTTGTTCATTATTAACTACCTTAGAGCCCTAATTCCTAGGGAAATGTTTCCCTCTAGAAAGGTTTCATATTTACTGAGGGTGGGGGCAGGTAGGGATGAACTGGATTTTGGACCTAGAATTCCTCTAGTTTTCTTTTGTCTCAGGCTCATCTCTAGTTTGCCATATCATAGTAGGTGTTTGCTTTTGGGGCGGGTGACCTCACCTCTGCTTGTCCTTCTGACTTCCGGCTCACTTTGTGTTTGCGGAGAGATTTCCAGTGTTGTAGTGAGTCTACTCTGAAAGTCCGTTTTATCTGGGATGTCATTGTTGTGTGGGTGGGTGCCACTGCAGGCTCTTTAGTCAGGCTTGCTGCCAAAGCAGGACCCCATTGTCCAGGTTTGAGGCGTGTGAGTAGTAATGATAAACCTTCCAGCCCTGGGCATCCTCCTAAATTCACTCTTAGTGATTCACTCACTCATGGGAATCAAACTTTGGACCTTAGGCGGGTGACACTCCCCCTCCCCCTTGGCCCATAGCCCATGCTGTTGACATGGGAAAATGAGGATGATTAGTTCGAATATTGCTCCTGTGTGTTAACACTAGTGAGTTTTTGTTCCCCCGTGGTAGAACACAGATAACAATTAGATTGTAATTCATTTGGGGGAAATAAATTTCTGAAATACAAAGGTAGTGACTGAAAAGGCCCAAGGCTGGATGTGAAGTCCCAGGTTAGCAGCGAGATAACCTGGGCTAACTTGTTGGCTTCCCAGAGCCTCGGCTGTAAAGAAAAGCAAAAGCTACTCCATACACTGATGTTCATATGCTGACTGTGTTAATGTTTTTCTGGTTTTTGTTTGCTATTCAGCAATAAGCTTATGAGAGACAATTATTATAGCGATTTGAATCCTGAGAAAACGGAAATATAGAGAGGGGAAATAGTGAATTATTGTCAAGGTAACATGAGTTGGCTTGTAAAATATGCTGTCCACATGTTAATAATAGCAGATACAAGGAACATCACAGGAGAGAGGGCAAAAAGGGTAAAGGCCAGAGGATGGGAGGGGATGCAGTGAAATGTTGTCTTCTGGACATGACATAGCAGTTGTACTTTGAACTCAGCATCTGTGGCTGTCTGCAGAAGGGTCTCACAAGGCCCCACTCCCCTGTGAGGAGAAAGAACCAGAGTTGCCACAGGACACACCAAGACTGAGTTCGCAGCACAAAGGAGATTTGTTTTGTACCAGATGGACAAAAGGCAGGGAGTAAGAGACAGACAAGAAGTAGATGACAAGAGAGAAGAGGAAAGGGGCCAGGGGGTTGATGTTTGACCTAGAGGTACAAAAGATAGCCTCTGGCTGGAGAGGAGACAGACATGGCCCACAGGCAATGACAGTGTCTAAAGGGAAAAAGGGAAACCCCGTGTTAGGATAAGTTGGTTTGTTTTAATTGGGCATATTAATTAGGATTTTAAATTAAGAATTAATAATTTCCTTACTAATAGAGTCTAAAGGGAACTTTTGATTGCTGGACTTAAATACTTTGATAGCTGGACCTTGGTGGACAGCCTCAGGAGGAGGAAGTGGCCGAATAAGGGAATAGAACTTGGTGATTACCTTCAGGAATGTAACCTATGGCTTAGCAAGGAGGAGAAAGGTGAAAGACAAAACCTGTCAGAGCCCTGTTTACCATGGGTTTGTTAGAGCCCTTCAATAGGTATATAACTTAATGGTTGCTGGAGAAGGCGTCATCCTCAGTGGTATAACCATTAGTAAGGTGCCCTTGCTCAAGTAAATAACCTCCCAGCCAGGCTCATGCATGCAACCCTAACTAAATGGGCACATACACAAATAGGAGGAGGGCTTACTAGGAAGAAGGGCGTTAGTGGGAGGGGAAAGGATAAAAGAGGTAGGTACATGAAATTTGAAAAAATAAATACATTTAAATAAATAGCTATCATTATGATCACTAACATTTTCTGGAGAGAATATAAGATTTTCAAGAACTCTTATGGAGTACTTGCATGTGTACTGCTAAGTGCTAGGGAAACAGGAGTAAGGAACGTGGACACAAATGGTAACGGATGTCTGGGAAATGTGGTGTGTGGGGGGGGGGGGGATGGAGTGGTTTGAGAGCAGGCCCTATCAGAAGACATGCTCTCTGGGCTTTCTGCCTCTGTGCTGAGCTGGAGGCAAGCACGGGGAAGAAAGGCCAAGGTGGACCAATTATGAAAACGCCTGGAGGGGAGAGAGAACAGTGCTCTGGATAAAGAGGCAGAAATGCTTCTGTGTCTTGGGTTTTAAGAAAAGTATAGCCGGCGGTGGTGGTGCACGCCTTTAATCCCAGCACTCGGAAGGCAGAGGCAGGTGGATCTCTGTGAGTTCGAGACCAGCCTGGTCTACAGAGCTAGTCCCAGGACAGGCTCCAAAACCACAGAGAAACCCTGTCTCAAANAAAAAAAAAAAAAAAAAAAAAAAAAAGGTGTAGAGTTAGGTTGCAAAAGTGAGTTGATGTTTCTGTTTGTTTGTTTGTTTTTAAGACAAGGTCTCTTGTTTACTCCAGGCTGACCTTGGAACTCACAAAGATCCAACTGCTCCTCTCCCAGTGTGCTTAGGACTAAGGGTGTGCACCATCACACCCAGCTAGGTTTTTTGTTTTGTTTTATTTGAGATTTTCAAGATGGGGTTTCTCTGTGTAGCCAGGCTGGCCTCCAACTCTTACAGATGTGCCTGCTCTGCCTCCAGAGGGCTGGTATTAAAGGTCTGCGCCACCACTGCCCAGCCAGGTCTTATTTTCTTATTGAAGCCTTTGTAAGCGCTTCTTTTATCCTTGGGACACTAACTCTGAAAATTTTCTTACTAAGCAGTAATGTAATTGAGAAAGATCATGGGGTTCAGGGAGGTGGGTCAGTGGCTAAAAGTGCTTACCACAAGTCTTGTCAAGCTGAGCTCAGTCCCTGGGTGGAAAGAGAGGGACAACTCTTTTTCTTTTCTTTTCTTTTTTTTTTTTTTAGTAAAAAAAAATCTTTTTTTAATTTATAAGGTTGGATTTTTTTTAAGTGGGTTATGGTGGGGAAAGGGAAGAAGGGGAGAAGAGTAGAGAGAGAGATAAACAGGGGGAAGGGAAGAAGTGGGGAGAAGGGAGAGCCAGAAGCTGCTGAGAGAGGGAGGGAGGGAGAGAGAGAGAGAAGAAACAAGGGCCAACTCTTTTTTTTTAATATTTATTTATTACGTATATAATATTCTGTCTGCCTGTATGCCTGCAGGCCAGAAGAGGGCACCAGACCTCTTTACAGATGGTTGTGAGCCACCATGTGGTTGCTGGGAATTGAACTCAGGACCTTTGGTAGAGCAGGCAATGCTCTTAACCTCTGAGCCATCTCTCCAGCCCAAGGGCCAACTCTTGAAGGTTGTCCTCTGACTTCCACAGAGGCTGTGACATATGAATGCCCAGACAAATAAATGAACATAGTTTTAAAAAGAAAAAAAAAATCTGGCTGAATTATAGGAATGACACTTGATGCACTTACATGACCTCATTATCAGTTCCTTATGTCAATATTCAGAGGTAGAAATTAGTGTCTTGACTTTCTAGATGGTAAGATTGGCACTTAGATGGCTTCATTCAACCCCCCCTTACACAATGGGAAGTGGAGTTCCAGATCTTTGTGACTCTAAAGCCGCACCTTGTGTCATTTCAGTGATGTGCTCTCTGTTTGCGCTGTAGGACATTCTCATTTGTTCTTACAGTATTGTTGGCCCAGCATTTCACGTCATTGTTTAATCTCCATGACAATCATTAATTAGAGGTGTCATCTTTATTGAGAGGCATGGAAAAAACAGGCTTGGGGAGTGTGATGATTCATGGTTCATACCCAGAGAACAGTAAGCTAGGTGTTGAGCGCCAGGCTCTTAGCAGAGAAAAGCTGTTTTGTTTTCCTGTTTGTGGCACCATTACAAACGTGCCTCACTTCCTTCTGTGCCTATGCTCTGGATGTTTATAAGGCTCTTTCCTTCTAGGCTTTGGAGATCATATTCACTGGAGGACGTTAGAAGATGGGAAGAAAGAAGCAGCTGCAAGGTAGAAAACGTGGTGTTGTGCCATTGACAGTGACAAAACTTTCTAGCCATTGGCTTAGCATTGCTTTCAGGTGAAGGGCCATGTCAAGGCCCCACAAGAACTAAATAATACTCGGGAGGCAGAGGTAGGCGGATCTCTGTGAGTTCGAGGCCAGCCTGGTCTACAGAGCTAATTCCAGGACAGGCTCCAAAGCTACAGAGAAACCCTGTCTCAAAAAAAGCTCAGCATGTACTGTGTACCGGGTATTAGATAATCTCAACCAACTCATTTAGTTTTCGCATTTCCATGAAGTATGTTCCTTTGGTTGTTTTTTTTTTTTTTTAGCAATATGAAATTAAGCCACTCAACAATTAATTTGTCCAAGATCACAAGTTGGTATAAAGTAGAGGTGAGCATCCAACACCTCTTTAGGTTCTTTAACTACAGAGCCGGTGCTCTCAACCCTAAGTTATACGGCCTACTAACCTAAAGCTAAAATGGTGTTGTGTTTCAGGTCTGTGTACAACAACCCAGAGCACAAGGCCTGGGGGAGGAGGCGGAGGCCGGGAACTGTCAGTTTTACATGGATGGGTTTATTTAGTCTTCACAGCCTCTGAGATTGGTACACCTAGGAAAGAACTGTTACATTTTATAGAACAGAAACCGAGATACAGAAATGTGAAGCTACTGTCCAGTATTTAAACTGCTATTAAATGGCAGAGCCAGGACTTTCATTTCTCTACTAGTGTATTGGAGACTTACTCTGCCCCAAAGTGTGTGTCCTCCATGATATCACAATACCGGCACAGACATGCTCACACTTACACTTCTACACCTACCAAACTAGTAATTGCTGTTCCAGAACAGATCCTACAGCCTCTTGACACTGGGGTCTCAACCTTCTGCAATAGAATTGCCAAATTTAATAATAGAAATAAAAGATGCCCAGCTAAATTTAAATTTTACACAAAGGAAAATAGAATATGTCTATGCAGCTTAATGCGTTTTTAAAAAAATCTTAAATTCAGATTTAATTGGGAAATCTGCATTGTATTTGATAACCTATCCAAGATGAAAATTCCCATTAGTCTTTCAAGTTAAACAAATAATTTGACCCGAGGATATAGTTCAGTGACAGAGTGCCTGCATGAGGCCCTAGCCCAGCACCCTCTCCCAAACAGAGACAAATTCAAATATCAACCAAGTCTTCAACGAGTTTTCTGGGCATCTCTCCACTTCTGTTCTTCAAACAAACATGGCTACCCGTAGCATTTTTTACGGTGTGTGGGCACTTAATTCTTCCAGTTAAGACCCTCAATTTCCTTAGGGGAACAGTTTTATATGTTCATATCATACCATGAAAATATGTTGACGATTGAAATAGTTGTTATGAGTAAACATTTACTAAGAGCTACTAGCTGTAAGAGAAGTCCTGACTAGAGAAGCTTCATTTGTAATTTGCTCTCTGTGTGCTAAATGTGGTGCTAGTAATTTTGTGGAATGCCCATTAAATCCTAATTAATGGGCATCTTTGGGGCCAGGGCAATCATATTTTCTTAGACCTATAACATGTGGTGTAAATAACTGATGCCATCTAATCTCCGTGTCTTTCTGAGAATTTTGGTCCTTGAACTGGTTGGTTTGGCATTCCCGTTTCCATAGAAACAAGCGCACTTGTAAGAAAACAGGACGTTCGGGTTTCACTTCCGGTTCACGCCGGAAGTTGACTCGACCGTCCGCACATGGGTGGCCCTAGGGAAGATGCCGCTCGTGGTGTTTTGCGGGTTGCCGTCGAGCGGCAAGAGCCAGCGGACCGAAGAGCTACGCCGGGCGCTGGCCGACGAGGGCCGCACGGTGTACGTGGTGGACGACGCCTCGGTGCTGGGCGATCAGGACGCGACGGTGAGGGCGTACGGCGACCCTGCCGGTGAGAAGGCGCTGCGTGCGGCGTTGCGGGCCGCGGTGGAGCGGCGCTTGAGCCGGCAGGACGTGGTCATCCTGGACTCCCTCAACTACATCAAGGGCTTCCGCTACGAGCTGTACTGCCTCGCGCGGGCCGCGCGCACCCCGCTCTGCCTGGTTTACTGCATACGCCCGGTCTGGCCGAGCTCTAGACCTCAGGGTGCTGAGACCGCTGAGAACCGCGACCCGGCGGCTGTCAGTGTGAGCTGGAGGCCGCGCGCCGCGGAGGGCGAGAAACCTCGGGTGGCCGGCGCCGTGGGGGAACAGCGTCCCGCCAGCCTGTTAGAAAATGGGGCGGCCCTGCCGGCCCTCCGCAGGGAACTGGATCCGGAGGAAATCCTGCCATCAAGTCCTCCAGCGGGTGTAACTCCGGAATCCGAGAAATCTGCGAAGCCTGCTTCCAGTGCCTTTCCTCCCGAACTTCTGGAGTCCTTAGCGCAGCGCTTTGAGGCTCCTGATTCTCGGAACCGCTGGGATCGACCTTTGTTCACCGTGGTGGGCTTTGAAGAGCCATTGCCCCTGGCTGAGATCCGATCTGCACTGTTCGAGAACCGGGCACCCCCGCCCCATCAGTCTACGCAGTCCCAGCCCCTGTCCTCTGGCAACTTTCTGCACCAGCTGGATCAGGCCACGAACCAGGTGTTGTGTGCCGTGATGGAAGCACAGAAGGGCGCCGTACCCGGAGATGTGTTAACACTTCCTGGTACCACGGAGCACCTCCTGTTTACCCGGCCCTTGACCATGGGGGAACTGAGTCGTCTCCGTCGCCAGTTTATTTCCTACACAAAAATGCATCCCAACAACGAGAACCTACCTCAGCTGTCCAATATGTTTCTAAAGTATCTGAGCCAAAATTTGCCCCAATAGAGGCACTGGGAGGCGGCGATGGTTCCTGTCTAAATTGCACTGTACTTTGTCCAGGAAGAATAGTGTGAAGGTCTACAGAGCCTACTGTACTAGGGTTGCTAGGGTTGGCTGCCTCAATTTCCTGGCCACAGCTGTGCGCGTCACGCCTGTGTGTATAGCATAAGCTAAGGCATAGGAGTAGTAGCTCCAGAAATCTCAGGTGGGCAGTTTTTCTTTGGTTGGACTCTGTCTGGGGATATTACATCTGGATGGAGGAGAATTGTTTTAAGTCAACTGTGAGTAGAAGACGAAGATGATACAGTTTTGTAAGGCCCTTTCATACTACATATATATTTGAGTATAGTACTTCTTGCTTTCTATCCTGCATCATGGAACACAGATATGTTTTTTGTTCTGGGGAAACTGATATTTGTATAAGACAACCATTAGTTATTTCCTCTAATAAAAGTTTTCAAAGTTGTCTGCTGGACTCTTAATGTAATTTAATGTTCTCACCGTAACTTAGTACTTTACATGAGTCGTGGCATATCTTTGGCTGATAGTGTTTTTTATATGAGAGGCTCAATTGCTTGGTCTTTATATTTTGACACCTTCCATAGCAATTGTGCTTCATCGTATATTTCGAGGCAAGCATCACTAATCTTAATTTTGTTGGTAACAGACAGTAAATACTGGATTCCTGTTATCCGTTATCCATATGATTTTTCAGACTTGTTTGTGTGGAATGCTTAATTGGATGAAGGGTGGCCGTCACAGAGCCTGTGGAGGATTAACTAGCTGCTGGGAGAAGGTGCTTTTGGGAGACTGTAGAAAAGTTAGTATTTGAAACGTAGCTGTAGAAAAATGATCAGCAAACGTGTTCTGTCTAGATGACTCTTGTAAATGAAGGACACTGCAACGTCCAAAAAGAACACTGGTTTGGGAATCAGTCTTTTTGTTAGCTTATAAATGGCAGAACTTAAGTTTCATGTGGTCAGTTAATATCGGGAGTCTTGATCTTTCTGGGTGGGGCTGGGGATTGAACCCAGAACCTTGTACAAGATGGGCAAGTGCTCTACCATTGAACTACATCACAGATTAATGTTTTCATTTCTATGAGACCATTAACAGTATCCACCCTAGATAAGTGTGTTGGAGTATGCTTATAATCCTAGCACTCAGGAGACTGAGGCAGGAGGATTGCCATGAGTTTAGGCCAGTTCAGGTTACAGAGTCAGAGACCCTGAATCTAAAGTAAAATCACGATGAGATGGCCAGTCATGCATCCAAGCCTAACAAACAGTCCAACTTCAATCCCCAGGACTTACACCATGAAAGGAGAGGACCTCTGATCTCCAGTGTACTTGCTCTCTCCCTTCCTTGCTTGCTTGGTCTTCCTTCCTACCTGGAGCGTGCAAGGCCGCGCACACTGAAATAAACAGAATTATTACGCCAGGTGGTGGTGGCACACGCCTTTAATTCCAGCACTCAGAGGCAGGCAGATCTCTGAGTTCAAGGTCAGCCTGAATATAATTATGTTCCACACTCCAGGAAATTATTTATTGGGGTGGAGGTCTCACTATGAACCCTTAGTTGGCCTGCAACTCATTATTTAGACCAAACTAGTATTCAGATTCAGAGATCAGCCTCCAGACTGCTGGCATTAAAGCCATGTGTCATGATGCCTGGCTCATAATTGTAATTTTTAAAGTTTCTCCCCTAGGGTTTGTGGGGCTGTGTAGTTTAATGCATCATAGTTATGGTCACTTACATCCTGCCATCTACGTACACTTGTCCTTCTCATGTGGTTTATAAGCCTTTACAGACACCAAAGTCAGAAGTCAGTCCATTCAGATTCTCAGTGTTGGACTCTAGCGTCCAAACACCGAGGAGGAGTCGCCCCCAGAGACCATCTCATACACTACAGCCGATGCAAAAGCATGAGGATTTTATTAATTCTGTCATGACAGGGTCCCCCAGCATTCGGGAAGCCGAGGGACCTCGAATAGCGGGTACAGTCTACTTTTAAAGGGGCCACAGAAGCAAGGGGGGTTGTTCTTTGACTATTCTGATTGGCTTATTTGAAAGGGCTATTACCAATAATTGACTGGAGAGCTGTTGCCAGATCAGATGAGGTAAGAGGTCATTTTGACCCCGTTTCCCAGGGGACCAAACCAAAGCATACCTTTATGGGTAATTGTTCAGGAACTGAGTATGTGCGAGTGTAGCTGTTAGGTCTTTGGTTCCCAGGGGAGGAGGGGAAGCACTATGGCACAGAGGCTGAGAGGATTCAAATTGTCAAAAATGGCTTCAGGATTGTCTTAAAGTCTTACATCAGTACGCCTGAGGTGAGGTAGATGGTAACCTAACGCTTACTAATCATGTACAATAGCACTGGTACATAGTGAATACTGGGTGCTTGATGTCAGTGATACTGTATGTGTTGGATATAGGGGAGGTAAAGACAGCTGAGAACACCTTGTCTCAGGAATTCTAGGTGTAATAGAGAAGCATTTTACCCACTGAACCATCTCCCTCACCCTATTGATAATTTGTTTTATTTTCGAGACAGGGTTTCTCTAGCTTTGGAGCCTGTCCTGGAAACTGGAAACTACCTCTTTTAGACCAGGCTGGACTTGAACTCACAGAAATTCGTCTGCCTCTGCCTGGCTGGGATTAAAGGCGTGCACCACCACCGCCCAGCTCCTATCGATAATTTTTTTCATATCAATAATTTTGTATCCTTATTTTATACTTAGCATATTAATGGAAGGTCTTTATTTACATTTTCAGCTATTATGTAATAATCACTTTGAGATACAGAAACATTCAAAATATAATCTGATGTTTTTCTCCTAGTCCACCTTTTTTGTTTCTACTTTTAAAGTCCAACTGCAGAATTTATGGAAACAGAATTTACAGTAGTTTTTTTCTCATATCATCCATTAAATAGTTGAATTATTTTACAGTTGAAACCATACAACAGAAACATTTCTATGCAGTACTCTGACTCAGTGAACTGCTGGTTTTGTTAGCATGCTTTTGAGGGATTCTACTAGAATTTAATTTCTTTGTTTTTAAGTGGCTTGCCGCTGATGGTGATCATCCATAAATCTTGGTGTGGAGCTTGCAAAGGTAAGTACAGTTGTTCCCCCCTGACGTTAGGCTTGAGATGTCAACATGTTAGTGTTGGTGCTGCCAGAGCACTGCTGATTGCTGTGAGCAATACCAAAGAAATTCGACGGGGGATGGGAAGAGTAAGATGCAGTTACGTGGTGTATGGCATTAAGTGTGTTAATATTTCGGGCAGTACATCTAAGCAGAAGCTGGAATTCTGTACAGAGGGGTATAAATGGTTTAGGGAAGGAGAGAAGCAATCGGAACTGGAGGATACTTGCCTGTGGCATGTATTCTTTCTTCCTGCCATGTTTAGAAAGAAGTACAGTTGGGCATGGCAGCTTCCGGTAATCCTTTGTTCAGGAAGCTGAACAGAAGCATTGGCACAAATTAGAGGGCACCTTGGACAACAGAGTGAATCCCTGTCTCAAAAATAAGATAAATAAGAAGAGTGTACAAGCCAAGTGCTATGCATGCCTGTAATCCTAGACCCTGGGAACCTGACGCAGGAGGATCAGAAATACAAGGATAGCATGAGTTCCACTGAAAGACCCTGTTTTTTCTTTTCTTAAGCTTTTAAAATTTTCATTGAGTTTTCTTTAGTACCCATTTTATTTGTTTATATCTTATTTTATGCATGGGTGTTTTAGCTGCATGCATGTGCGTGTACCACACTTGTGCTTAGTGCCTTCAGAGAACACAAGAGAGTAGATTCCCAGGAACTGAACCACCCTGTGGATCCTGGGAATCAAACTCGGGTCTCTGCAAGAGCAGTGAGGGTTCTTAACCACTAACCATCGCTCTGTCCCAGCATTTTATTTGTATTTATTGTATGGGTGTTTTGTTTTGTTTTGTTTTGTTTTGAGACAGGGTCTCGTGTAGCCCAGGCTACTCTAGATCTTCTGCCAGGGTACTGTGCATACTGAACAAGCACTTTACTAACTGAGCTCCACTCCCAGCCCAAGAGACCCATAACAACAACAAAAACAAAATATAAAAACTTAGAGGTGGTGTTGGCCTCCTTATTCCAACCTGAGAACTCCAGTGAGGTCCGGGATAGCCTAGGTCTCAGTGTGAGGGTCAATGCCCCGCCCCCCCAGCAGCTACTAACATTATGGTTCCTTTTTCAATAGAAATTAAATTGAAATATAACTAAAAAGTAAACTGTGGGAGCCGTGAGATGGCTTATTAAGTAAAGACACTTGCTGCACAAGTCTGGCATCATGGGTTTGATTCCTGGAACCCATGTAAAGATGGAACCGACTCTACATAGTTGTCTTCTGACCTCCATGTGTGCTATATGGCACATACATACATACACATACACACATACATATATTTATATAATATATAATTTATATATACACATATTTACAGTGTGGCTGTCAGAGTACAACTGTGGGAGTCCATTCTTCTGCCATGTGGGCTACAGGGATTGGACTTAGGTCATCAGGAGTGCAGTGGGCATCCGTACCCACTGAGACATCTCTTCAGCTCATAAGTTTTTTTTTTTTTTTGCTGAGACAGGGTCTCACTGTTTAGCCCTGGCTATACCAGAACTTGCTACGTAGACCAGGCTGTCCTCAGCCTGACAGATCCTTCTGTTGTGTCCTTGATTAAAGACTTGTGCTGCCATTCCCAACCCCCCATTGTTCTCATCTCATAAATGAGAGTTCCCAGTTGGGGTCACATCACAGTGCAAGTGCTAGAAGCAGGGTGAGCATCTAGGTGCCCAGTTCTTGTTTTATGATTGCATTTTTTTAAAATTGTTTTTATTACTAATTAGTGTTGTTTGAGACATGTCTCATTGGGTGGTCATGGCTGGCCTGGAACTTGCTCTGTAGAAAAGGGTGGCCTGGAACTCAGAGAAATCCACCTATCTCTGAGTCCAGAACTCTGAAAATAAAGCCATTATGCCCGGCTTTTTTCTTTTTCTTTTTATCTTTTTTTGAAACAGGTCTTGCTATGTTACACAGGTTGGTCTTAAACTCAAGTAGTTCAAGTTACCCTTCTGCCTCCATCTCCCCAGTAGCTGGTCTACAATTATTGTGCATTCTGGGGTTTTTGTTTATATTGTTTGTTTTTAATTTTAATTGTTTTTTGTTTTAATTGTGTTTGTGCATGTTGAGACATGTACATTTATTTGTGTGCATGTGGAGACTGGAGATCAGCTTTGAATTTTTTTCCAACTGGTTTCCATGTTTACAATTTCATTTTATTTATTATTGTGTATGTGCTCACGTCGTGTGTGGGTGAATGCCAGAAGACAACTCTGATGTTCGGTTTTCTCCTTCTACCTTTTCATAGATTCTGGGGATCAAAGTCAGGTTACCAGGCTTGCACAGCTGGGCCTTATTGCTAGTCCCAACTTTGTTTTTTTGAGGCGAGGTCTCTCAAGGGAATCTGGAGCTACCAGATTAGGTGATGCTGGCTCAGCCAGTCCCAGAGATCCACTTATTGCTGCCTCCTGGAGGCTGCAACTTCAAGTGCATGCTACTGTGCAGTGCTGTTCGTGAGTGCGGGGAATTGAACTTAGGCCCTCAGGGCTTAAATGCAGCGCTTTACAGACTAGGCCATCTCCCATCCCTCAATGCTAGGTTTTTAGATTTATCTATCTATCTATCTATCTATCTATCTATCTATCTATCTATCTATCATCTATCTATCTATTTATTTTGTTTTTAGATTTAAAAGTTTTAGTTATATGAGTTAGGTTAGTGAATACCTGACCTATCAATGGGAATTAGTGATGTTTATACTTATTAGTGTTTGGGTATAATAATGTCTCCTTCATTGTGAAATCTTTTCATTTTTTTCTCCCTAGCTTTAAAACCCAAATTTGCAGAATCTACAGAAATTTCAGAACTGTCCCATAACTTTGTTATGGTAAATCTGGAGGTAAGACTTCAAGAGTTTCCCCTCCCCACGTTCCCTGTGATCTTAAGGTATTGTTTTAGATTAGGTATAATGTGATCTGGGTAGAACTGTTGTTTTTCTCTTGACTACTAAGGCTTACATGAAAGATGTATTAGATAAGCCATCCAGCATTCAGAGAGGAGGCAGGAATGGAGAATTTGAATAAGTTCCTAAAATTTGGAGTCTTTTCATCCTTAGCGTTTGACTGTGATAGATTTTAAATTTTCATATAGCTCTTCTATAGATGGTCATTTGAGAGACTACAACTTCTGAAAATTGTGACTCAGCTGAGCACCTACTACCTGCTTGGCTGAGTTAGCCTTTCCTGTGCAACCTTCCCGTTTCCTCATGGAGGCAAACGTACCTGATACAGAATTCAGGTCTTGTGGTCCTGAATCTTAGACTATAAAGTCTTAGGCTTAGAAGGGATTGTTTAGAGGTGGGGCAGTGATGGTGCACACCGTTAATCCCAGCATTCGGGAGGCAGAGGCAGAGGCAGGCAGATCTCTGTGAGTTCGAGGTGAGCCTGGTCTATGAGAGCTAGTTCCAGAACAGGCTCCAAAACTACACAGAGAAACCCTGTCTTGAAAAACAAACAAATAAATAAAACAAAAACAACAACATCAAAAAAAAAATCCCCAAAACCTAGAAGGGATTGTTTAGGTCATTGCTATTGTTCCCATCTCATAGAAAGGCCTGAAATCAAGTGTGTGATTTTGTCAAACTCCTAAGAGCCTAATACACGAGAAAATACTGTGAGCAAGGTGTGCTCCCTTCTGGCCATACTCTTCAAGTGTGGCACCATGTAGCACTTTATCATGATGCTTCCAGACGTGAGTTTCTTTAAAGAGATTGTTTGCTTAAACATAGGTCCAGCAATCTTCTGAACATGTAAAGAGGCAACATTGAAGCATCAAGCATGTAGTTAATGGATAGCCCACTGCTAATTAAAGCAGTTTAAATAAATGCTATGTTTTTTAAATATACAATTTATTTTTATTTTGTGTTCATTTTTTTTTTTTTTCTCTCATGTATGTCTGTGTGAGGGTGTCAGAGGCCCTGGAACTGGAGTTGCAGACAAGTGTGAGCTGCCATGTGGGTGCTGGGTCCTCTGGAAGAGCAGCCAGTGCTCCAGCCCCCATAAATGACCCTGTTTAATCCCTGTAATGGGAACCTTGCTGTTTATTTCCCTTGAACACTATCTCCTTACTTTCTGGGGTAAACTGGGTTTTCTCACTCAAAGAGGACAAGAGGTCTCCAGTGAATTCCCAGCTTCAGGAAATGCAGTCACGGTGCCACATTATCCACTCATTCAGGAAGTTCTGTGTGCGAGTCAGTGATAGCGGACTGAGAGTGCACGGAGAACAAAAGAGTTCCCTCCCCGGAGTAACATTCTAGCACAGGAAAACAAGCAAAGTAAAATACATCAGATGCTGTTTAAAGCTATAGCCGAAAGCTAAGGGCAAAAGAGATAAGATTATTAACAATTTAAAATAGGCATCTAGGAAAGAAAATTATATTTGACCAAAACTGAGAAGCAGAAAAGGGATGAGCCTGGTGGACGGTGGGGAAGTGTGCCCAGGCAGAGCGAGTCCAGAACCCCAAGTTATGAGTGTGTCGGGTTTGTTGAGTGACGGTAATAAGTAGATTAATGTGGCTAAAGATGCCTGAACAAGGTAGAACGTGAAGTTTAAGAAATTCTAGGGGAACCAGTTGGTGGTGGCGCACACTTTTAATCTCAGCACCTGGGAGGCAGAGGCAGGCGGGTCTCAGTGAGTTCGAGGCCAGCCTGGTCTACAAAGCAAGTTCCAGGACAGCCAGGACTATTATACAGAGAAACCCTGTTGAAAAACCATAAAGAAAAAGAATAGAAGAAGTTCAAGGGGGACATGGGCGGGTCACATAGAGCCCCCTGGCCTGAGCAAGCCTGGAATCCTCTGGAAGGCTTTAAGGAGAGGAAGAATATGTTCTCATCTAACGATTATTTAATCTTAACAGGATGAAGAGGAACCCAAGGATGAAGATTTCAGCCCTGATGGGGGTTATATTCCACGCATCCTTTTCTTGGGTAAGGCAAACGAACTTCTTGGGTGACCCAGGATAAGAAGTTGATAGAGAGAAATGTTAATCATTGGAATTACACTGATGACCAACCAGAGTGTCCAAGAATAAGGGACCTGGGGCAGGGCAAGGTGCTGCATGCCTACTTTGGAGGATGATGTGTTTGAGGCTGTTCAAGGCTACAGAGAGATCTTGAGGTAGTGGTGGTGGGAAGAATATGAATAAGAATGAATAAACTTTTCCCCTAGATAACTGCTTTTATAGGGAAGCACAAAGAGTATGACCTCCACCAAGTCATTCATAGTCATTAGGACATCGCCCCATATCAAAGGCACTGCTAGGATAGATAGTTTCCACCCCTGGGTCTGTGTGCAGCAGCCAGTGGAATAGCACTACCGGGCAGGTGTCTTTCAACATTTTTGTTTGTTTTGTTTTTTAAAGACAGGGTTTCTCTGTGTAACAGCCTTCACTGTCCTGGAACTTGCATGGTAGGCCAGTCTGGCCTGGAACTCAGCCACACCTAATTCTACTTCTGTCTCCCAGGTGCTGGGACAGGTGTGCACTACTACACCCAGCTTTGTCTTTCCACCTTTCTACAGTAGTAGCTAGTAGCGCACAGCTGTGGTCCCAGCTCTGGAAGGCAGAGACTGGAGGGTCAGGAATTCAAGGCTAGCCTCCACTGGAAATTTGAGCTAGGTGGTGGTGGTGCAGGCTTTTAGTCCTAGCCCTGAGAGACAGAAGCAGGGAAATCTCTGTGAGTTTGAGGCCAACCTGGTCTAAGTTCCAGGACAATCAGGGTTACACACAGAGAAATCCTGTCTCAAAGGAACAAAAACAAACCAAAAAAACCATAGGAAGTTTAAGGCCATCTCAGAATACATTAAACCCCATCTCAAAAAAAAATCCAAAAATTGATATACCGAAATTTTTTTTGCCAGATTTAATGAATGATATAAATAAAGAAATGTATAATTCTTGGGGGGGTGGGGAGGTAGGTGAAAGGAATGGGAGGAGGGAAGGGAGTGGAGACTTAGATTGGTATGTACAATGAAAAAGGATGGTCTGCTTTCTTTAAAAAAAAAAAAAGGAAAAAATGAAAAAAAAAGAAATGTATAATTCTGTCTTTATCAAGCAAAAAGAACACTCCAGGAAGGGAATAGCATTTGCCAAGGTACAGGATGGAAATGGTTAGCTATGTTCAAAGAGGCACATCGATTTTTTTTTTTTTTTTTTTTACGATTATAGCATGAAATTCCAAAGGAGGGTGGTGACATAATGAACTGCAGAGCTGGGTCTTGTCTCCTGAGGGCCTAGTGTACCAAAAGGTGTTGGAATTACTGCAACTCTCTCCCCATTTGTCTTCGACAGATCCCAGTGGCAAGGTGCGTCCTGAGATCATCAATGAGGGCGGAAACCCCAGCTACAAATATTTCTACGCCAGTGCCGAGCAAGGTGCGGTTCTGAGGGGTGGGAGGCAGAATGGTTGAGCCCAGGCAAGGTCTGGGACAGGAGTCCATCTCCGTAAGCCTGTCGGCTAACCATCTCCCACAGGACTAGCTTTTGGCGAGATTCTATAGCAGATACAACTGAAAGATAAAACCGAGCCTTTCCCCAGCTGCTTAGACTCCAGTGGGAGAGCTAATGACTGGCTAAAAGCTGACGGACCAAAGCTTATAGAGGTCCTTACTGGCTCCTGGCCTCGGTTAATAAGTCAGAGCTGGATTTGGTTTGTTTTGGTTTTCCATTGTGCCTGTACTGTTCTTGTAAGAATCTAAAGGATAAGGAATACAAGTCAAAGCAGTTTCATAGATATTAAACAAAATGGACAGACAATATACGAATTTGTCTGGCTCTGGCAAGATGGCTCGGTGGGTAAAGGCACCTGCTGCCAGACTGGACGACCTAAGTTCAAAGGAGAGAACTGACTCTTGCTAGTTGTCCACTGATCTTTCCACAGGTGCTGTTGTATATTAGTGCTATTACACACATGCTCAAAATAAAAAATGTATAATGTGTCCCTAGAAAGACACAAAGACTATTCACACCATGAAGATGAACGTGAATGGAGTATGACTTGCTAGAAATAGGTAGCTTGCGTGCAAAGAGTGATTTGTAGTCAGCATATAACAGGCAGAGGGAATAGCATTAGGGCATTAGCACAGAGCGAAGGAAGGCTGACGCGTCTGCCTCTCTTTTTGGTCTCTTGGTTCTGGAGCACTGTCATTCTAGGGTTGGAATTGATGTCCTGTGTTGTCACTGTGTTCCCTCTCCCACCACCACCTTTAAAGGGTAGTTCCTGGCTAAGTTGCCATGGTATCACCTATTGTTAGACTACCAAGTCACTGATCACATCGTATTTGTCCTTGGAACTCTTATTCCTAGAGTGGAAAAGGGAAAAGACAGAGCGTTGTCCTGTGGGTAAGGAGGATGCACCCACCTTAACAGTGCAGGAACCTGGAAATGGCGTTAGATGCAGACTTTCCACACAGAGAAGGGCAGTGGGGCTTTGAGTCCTAAACTCGTGTCTCTCAAGATTCACCTCCTGTTTAGACTATGCAATTGCTTTTGTCTTCTCCACACTAACACAGTCCAAAGGTAAGCAAGCACAAGGCTTTTCCTGGAGTCCTCACAGCTGAGTTGGCATGAGACTGGAAACATTCAAACCTGGCTATACCAAAAGCATAAGTAACACATAAAGGGAAAAGCTAACTATATTAGCTACTTTAATGAGCATATATGGGTTTCCAAGAGTCCCAAGACAGACTGGCTCAGCCCAGCTCCTCCCTTGCCATTTTAGAGCTGCCACTCAAGGGCACTGACGTCACTGCCCTCCTGGAAGTGCAAATGAGTGCTTAGGAGGGATTCCAGAGATGCACAAGGCACGTTGTCCGCCTCTGTCTTTCCTTTCTTCCCCTACAAACCTGGCTTCTTCCATTGTAGTTGGTTAATAGTAAAAATGACAAGCCCTTCAGTAAAGATCCTAAGATCGTTTCCTCTCATGGTGTGCACATGCGTGCGTGTTTACTCACACCTCATCTCTCTCCAGGGAATGAGGTGAATGCAGCAGTCATTCCAAAGGCGTTGGGTGGTGGGGCAGGGCAGCAGGAGGGTGTTCCCTCTTCCCTGAGTGTCACGTGAGCATGTGCAGTCACGAAGGGGTCAACAGAATGCTAGAAGGCTAACCAAAGTAATGACTAGCATGTCTATAGATCTTACTAGTTTATGAAACACTTGTATTGCTTAATTTCCGCAACAGTCAGATGTCAGCATTCTCTCACTTTGTAAACAGGAAGGGAAAAGAAAGACATGATAGGGCTGAAATCCAGAAGCAGATCTCGAGTCCAGGTCTTAGGCTCTTCTCAGATCTCTTCGAAAACATTTGAAGTCTGTTGTGCCATGTCAGGTACTAACGACGGCCCATACTCACCCTGTCCCTTACCTCTCTTCCAGTTGTTCAGGGCATGAAGGAAGCTCAGGAGAGGCTGACAGGTGACGCCTTCAGAGAGAAACACCTTCAAGATGAGCTGTGACATGAAGGAGTGTTCTGGAAGAAAAGCAGCAGGAATCCTGAGGAATCACCCAGAACAGTTGAACCACCAGGAAACCGAGCTTCTACCTACACTGGCAGGAGCTCTCACTGTGGAAGAGGCTTGCTGCTGAAGCGGGTCCGTGCGTCCAGCAGCATGGCCATGTCTTCTGCTCCCTCTCTCCTAAATAGCCATTCCTTTGAATGTAAAGGATGAAACTGGTACAAAACTTGAGCCACTTGGAGATTTGCTCCACGTCAGTATTTGCCTCCTCGCCCGTTCCCTCCTGCTGTGCTCATGCTGAAGTGCACGGAGATGGGAAGTAGCTTTTCTATAGTGTTTTTTAAGACGTCATTCTCCTTTTCTCTTGGTGATCATCCTGGGCTTCTTCCTCAACTCCTGTGGCCTTCCTTCTCTGTGCAGGCCTCCCTGCTCGCACGAATGTGTGTCACGATCGGCCGTGTGCTGGGACTCAGCCCCAGCTGGAAGCATGCTTTCCCCGTTGCTGTTAGAGAAACCCAAACCTTCAAGCCCTGAGTGGAGCCATTTTGTCAATTCATCAACTGTATTTTTGTACTGGGGTTAAAACAAAAAGAAAAGATAAGATATTAATTATTTCACTAAGCTTTAATAAAACTTTAAACAGAAAGATGCTGTGGCGGCCTTTCGTTATTAGAAGGGAAGAAGGGCTAGAGGTAGCGCAGAGGATGAGGAAGAAAACTGGCTCTAGGTGAGCACCCGGGCGTCTCCTTTGTTGTTATTAAGGCAGAATCTTAGGCTGTCCCTGTGTCCTCACACTCTTGGATTCAAGTGATTCTCCCATACCAGCCTTCTGAGCTCTTGGAATACAGGTGAGAGCATCTCTGTACTTCTAAAGCCCAATTCCCTCTGCCTTCCTATCACTTTGAGCGTATCATAGGCTACTTCTTTCCTGTGTTTATTGTTGAAAGACCTCCAGAGCGGGGAGACTCTCACTCAAGTCTTGGGATAACACGTCCCCCCAGGAACTCACAAGAGACCGTCCTTGCTGCAATCACACGAGGTTTATTGAAAAGACAGGAACCAGTGCACTGGGGCTGAAACTCACTTCCCACTCAGGTGTAGAGAGTTGGACCCCGAGTAGCTGGGAGAAGGGGTATTTAAAGGAAGAAACCACAACCCAGTAAATCCAAAGGGGGTAGGGAGGGGGATGTCATTGGAAAATTCCAAAAATACCAGTGATAATCACAAGGGGGTAACTCCCTGTTTCTCAAGATTATTCTCAAGATTGTAATCTAACTTTATCTTCAGCTGATTCCTGAAACAAAGTCACTGAACCAGCTAACCTAGATTTTTGGCTCTTCTCTTCCTGTTAGATTTTTGGCTCTATTTTTCCTGCTGGAGGGGTCTGGATTTATCCGGGTCTTTCATTGTGACAGCCCTGTAGCTTGACTCCTTGGCCTGTGATGTAGTCGTCTTTCTTCCCTTTTCCAGACTCATCTTTTCAGAGCACTAGTCCGTGTCACTCCCCTGCTTAAACCTTTCCTACCTTTCCGATCATGTTACTCCCTTTAAGATGCTAAGGCCTTTGGACTGCCAGACATCTCCTACTTGTTTACTGCTTGCTCCTGGTATCCCTGGGAAAGGTGCTATTGTAACCTTTGTTCTACAGAATACTTTTTATTTTCCTGTATATGTGTGCATCTGTGCACATGTGTGCCTCGTGTGTGCAGTGCTTATGGAGGCAGAGGAGAGCGTCGGATCTCTAGGAGCTAGAGTTACAGGCAGTCAGGAGCCTCCAGACATGGCTGCTGGGAACTGAACTCTGGTCCTCTGGAAGAGCAAGTGCTCTCAACCATCAAGCCTCTTCTCCAGCCCTTTCTTCTTATCACCTGGCTGCTCTGAAACTTCCGTGTGGACCAGGCTGGCCCAGAACTCATAGAAATCCATCTCTGCCTCCCAAGTGCTGTGATTAAAGGTATGCCCTACCATGCCTAGCAGGTAGGTCCTTTTTGTCCGTTCTCTTTATAAACACCAGCAAGCAGCCTTGTTTATAGAAAAGGGCATGTCAGAAGATGGAGTGGTTAGTCCTCCGGTCCCGGACCACAAAACACCGGATTCTAACTGCCAGCATCTGGTCACAAACTCCTGGTCTCCACCATGGCACCTCTCCATCCTTAGGTGACTTCTTGAAACAGTTGGTTTCAGTCTGGGCCATGGTAGGACAAGGGATACACGGGCACGGAAAGTTTTTAGTGAGTCCATTTCTATACCTTTATGTTCTGAAAAATTATCTCCCCAAAAATTTAATTGTGGAATTACCTCATGAGCCAGCAATTCCACTTAAGGGAATGTAACAAAAAGATTTAAAAATAGAATCTCGAGCGGATATTCACAGTAGCCTGAAAGTGGAAGCAACATGCCTATCAGTGAGTAGTAGATGGATTACAAAAAAGGAGGGCAGGTGGGTGGTTTCATTAATTCCATCTCCAGGCTCCACGTGGTGGGAGGTTCTTTGGCCTCTCATGACCTCTCATAGCCCCAGCTTCAGTAGAGCAGGCCTGGACCTCCATAACCTGCATTCCTGGAAGAGAAAGCACTAGGAAAGCAGCTCTCAGCATCCCTCTGTCTGCCAGGTCTTCAGCGGGGTCCTCGGAACAAGCGCCACATACTACTGAGTTATAGATCTGTGCTGATATATAACAAACACCATGGCTGCTGGAGAGAGAAAAAGCTACAAACCCAGTGGCTAAGAGTGCTTGCTGCTGCTCTTCCAGAGAACCCAAGGGTAGTTTTCAGCAGTCAGTCAAGGGGCTCATAACCAGGGGACCTGATGATGCCTTTGCCCTGCAGGCATCTGAACTCATGAACACACACACACACACAATTAAAAATGAGATAAAAAACAAAGTTACACCAGGGAGCTTACACAGGACTGACCGAGGCACTACACAGATATGTTACAGTTGTGTAGCTTGCTCCTCTCATGGGACTCCTAACAGCGGAAAGGGGCTTTCTCTGACTCTTACTGGCTCTTGGGACCCTACACATACTGGCTCCCCTTGCCCAGCCATAAAACACAAGGAGGTGCTTAGTGTTACTGCAACTTGATATGCCGTGTTTTATTGATACTCATGGGAGATCGGCCCTTTCCTGGAGGGGGGCTGGGAGATGGGAGCGGGAGTGGGGGGAGACTTTGGCCAGGGTGTACCATAAATAGGTGAATAAAATAAAAAGTTACAAACAATCCATTTGGTGTATTTCAAAGGGTGTGATGTGTCTTCATTTATCAATGAAAGAAGTTAGAAATCCCCTCCCACCCCAAAGCAGCAAGTACAAACGTGTCCTTGGGTGTCACCGGCACACTTAGGGTACAGCCCAGGAAAGAGAAGGGTGAGGGAGACAGCCTCTGCCCCCCTTTATCAGATGAGCTTCATCAGAGCCTGGGGCTCCAGGAGGGTGGAGAGAAAAGGCTCCTTCCAAAGGGAGTGGAGAGCACCAGGTGGGGAACACGTTTGCTAAATGATCCGGGGATTGGAATGTAGCCTCCTCCCCAACAGCTGCTGAATGGTTAATGAGTTAACGGAAATAGGGAATAAATAAATGACAAGCTTAACTCCCCACCCCTTCAAAGACCGAAGCTGTTGGAGGGGAATACTAGGTTATCCCAGAGTCCTCTCTAAAGGTGGAACCCGGCAGCAGCGCTAGCAGTTGGAACTAACCTACTGAGCATCCTCATGACCAAGCCTTGGTTTTAAGCTCACAAAGTCTTTTTCCTTCAGAAAAGCCAACACTAGTACTGTTAGCTTGTTTGAAAACGCAGTGAACTCAAAACTGACCAGTACTGGGGAGCAAAGGGAGGCTGCCTACGCAGGCCCTGCTCCCACACACGGTCGTCAGAACAGGACCGGGTTTTAATTGTTAACCTTTTGTCTGAGTTAAACGGTGCTTTTAAAAGCCGGGCGATGGTGGCGCACGCCTTTAATCCCAGCACTCGGGAGGCAGAGGCAGGGAGTTCGAGACCAGCCTGGTCTACAGAGCTAGTTCCAGGACAGGCTCCAAAGCCACAGAGAAACCCTGTCTCGGAAAACCAAAAAAAAAAAAAAAAAAAAAAAAAAGGTGCTTTTAGTATAACATCA